AGGGGGTTCCTGGCAGTTGCTTCTGTATGCCTCTCTCTTTCCCCACTACCATGCTTTCCACACTCTGGCCTCTGGGTGTGCTGGCTCATCCTGTCTGTGTAACTGAAGGCACTAACTTCCTCCTTTTACCAACAAGTTACTTTTTACTCACCTCAGGCATTTCACAAGTTCATGAGTAAAGATGTTTTTGGGTGTTGGGGCGCCTGGGTGGCTCAGATGGTTAAGCATCTGCCTTCGGCTCAGGTCATGATCCCAGGGTCCTGGGGTCGAGCCCCGCATCGGGCTCCCTGCTCCGCGGGAAGCCTGCTGCTCCCTCTCCCCCTCCCCCCGTTTGTGCTTTCTCACTCGCTCTCTTTCAAATAAATAAATAAAATCTTTAAAAAGATGCCTTTGGGTGTGAGGTCAAGCGGAGGGATATCACTGGGGTGTGTGGTCTCTTGCCCTGTGGCTTTCCCCCCACCCCACTTGGGTTTCTGTTCTGGCTCCTTCCCTCTTGTAAATAAACTAGCATTTCCCCCCCACTAAACAACAATCATGTCCACCCCAGAGAGAAATTATTTTTTCTGTAATTATAAGAATCTTCCTAATTTTTCCTTACGAATTTTCCTCATGAAGAGAAAAGCTGGAGTCGGCCATGCTAAGGATTCACATTTCGTTAAGCACATTTGGCTAAGTGTCTGTAAAAAAATCAAAGATAATTTTGTAGTGGTAACAAGACCTGACCTGAAAAATGTAATGGTTTATTATTATCACTATTTTAAAATTTTTATTTAAGTAATCTCTACACCCAACATGGGCCTCATGACCCGGAGATCAAGAGTCGCACACTCGTCCGACGGAGCCAGCCAGGTGCCCCTATTTATGACTATTATTTTTTATTGAAGTATAATTATCATAGAGGGTTATATTAGTTTCAGGTGTACAACATTCAGGTGATTCAACAATTCTATACATTACTCAGTGCTCACCTCATTAAGTGTAGTCACCATCTGTCACCAAACAACATTATTACAATCTTATTGACTATATTCCCTAGGTTGTACTTTTCAGTTCCATGACTTATTTATTTTATAACTGGAAGTTTTTACCTCTTAATCCCTTTTACCTGTTTCACCCATCCCAGAACCCACTTCCCTCCTGGTAACCACCAGTTTGTTCAATGTATTTAAGAGCCTTTTTGTTTGTGTGTTTCCTTTGTTTCTTTATTTGTTCATTTGTTTTGTTTCTTAGATTCCACATTTGAGGGAAATCATTTGGTATTTGTCTTTCTCTGACTTATTTCACTTAGCATTATATTCTCTAGGCCCATCCATGTTGTTGCAAATGGCAAGATCTCATTCTTTTTTATGGCTGAGTAATATTCCAGTGTGTGTGTGTGTGTGTGTGTGTGTGTGTTTGTGGGCACTGGGGTTGCTTTCATGTCTTGGCTATTGTAAATAATACTGCAATAAGCATAGGGGTGCATATATTTTTTTGAATTATTGTTTTTGTTTTCTTTGGGTAAATACCCAGTAGTGGAATTACTGGATCATAATGTATTTCTATTTTTAATTTTTTGAGGAACCTGTTTTCCACAGTGGCTGTGCCAATTTACATTCCCACCAACAGTGCACAAGGGTTCCTTTTTCTCCACATCCTCGCCAACATTTTTACTTCTATGTCTTTTGGATTCTAGCCGTTCTAACAAAGTGATATTTCATTGCTTCTGATATGCATTTCCCTGATGAAATTGGGCAAGAGTAATCAGTTTCTCAGAGGCCCTGTTTCTCTTCTGTTTAGGGGTTTGTTATCAAGAAAATTTGGCTCAACAATTGGGAAGTGTTGTATGGTTTGTTTGCTTTCTGATTCTAGAAATAGATCACAGAAGGAAGGGCAAAAGGAATCAGTTTGGCCTGGAGACTCAATGCATGAAACTCCCTAGGGGAGGAGGAAAAGAGTGAGGATGCACTGGTGAGTGAGTGGGAAGAGATTATGGGTGTGCCTAGACAGGGGGCCTGGCTGTCCCTTCTTTGAGGAGGGACAGGCTGAAAGTACAGCATCATCTTAACTAGAATTATAGGTGGCTTGAATAATTCTCCCCTTATCATCATCACCATCACCACCACCACCATCCAATTGAAATAAGTACTACTTGATCGTGAAGAAATACTCAGATTGGCTTTCAATGATTCTGTGCCTCACATAGTAAAAGCAGGAAGGGCCTCTCCTAGGACACAGTCTCCATTTCAGACTGCTCAAACCTGGTAAAGGTTACGACGTCTATGGAATGCATGGGAAACTGAGGTCTCCAAGAAGTGCTTTACACTTCAGAAAGTTCTGGAATCATTTCACTGTTCCAATGTCAATCAACTTGTGTGATTGCCCTTTCTGGACCTTTATCACTTCACCTGTACGTGAAGGGGTGTTGGTTGTGGGGGCACAGTTTGAAACAGACAGGTCTTCTGGTGCCCCCAATGTCACACTGAAAATGACAGTGTATATTTTAGGACTGATGTAGTGCCTAGAGCATAATAGACCCTTACATTGTTCTTATTAATACACAAGTCTAGCTTTTAAGACTAAAATCCACCAATGATTTCACTAAAAACGGCGTTTGTAAGATTTTTTTTTCACTGCAGTAGTATTAGAAAAGTCTTTTAGGGGGTGCCTGGGCGGCTCAGTCGTTTAAGCGTCTAACTCTTGATCTCAAGCTCAGGTAGTGAGTTCAAGCCCTGAGTTGGTTTCCACGCTGGGCAAGGAGCCTACTTAAAAAAAAATAAATAAAAAGGCTTTTAGGAACACCCCCACCTCCTTGGAGTGCTGGGCTGCCCTTATCTCTCTTTTTTTTTTTTTAAGATTTTATTTATTTATTTGAGAGAGAGAGAGAGAATGAGAGATAGAAAGCATGAGAGGGAAGAGGGTCAGAGGGAGAAGCAGACTCCCTGCTGAGCAGGAAGCCCGATGTGGGACTCGATCCCGGGACTCCAGGATCATGACCTGAGCCGAAGGCAGTCGCTTAACCAACTGAGCCACCCAGGCGCCCTGCCCTTAGCTCTTAATGCTCAATGCCTTCAGCTGTGGGTTTTCATTCACCACCAGCAGCTGAGTACCCACTGTGGGCCTGGTCCTTCCCTGGCTAAGAGGGTCCAGAGATGACCAGGAATGGTTCCAGTTCTCAGCAGATGGGGAACAGATGTGTGAAAGCTTGAAGGAAGTGATACCTGAGCAGTGGAGAGAGGGTGAGGGGGAGCAGATCAGATAAAAACAAGGTCATTCCAAACAGAGAGCATGAGCAAAGGTCTTGAGACACAGGATCTGGAGCAACAGAGCAGCTGAACGTGTCAGGGTCCAACGGGAGAGGGTGAAGATGAGATGGACAGGTAGGCAGGGGCCTGTGTGGGAGGGCCTGTAGCTCAGCTAAGAAATCTGATGGCATGTGGGGAGGGGAGAACCGTGTCATTGAAGATACTTCAACAGGGATGTGACATGTCCCAGTCCTCTAGCAGCAGGGCAGGGACTGGGCTGTGGAATGAAGTTCTTGCCAGTCCTTTCTTCTCAACTGAGGGTCCTCAGGGCAGTCACAGGCCTTAGCACAGAACTATCAGGAGAGGAAAGAAGCCTTGGACATTGCATCTCAGGTTAGAAAGAAAAACATGGTTCATCAATGGCACTAGGTCCCAGAGTAACTTGATTAAGCTAATGAATAGCACTGGGCCTCAGCTTCAATGATCTCCTGTGTGTGTGGCGGGGGGTGGGGTTCTCTCCCTGGATGGGGTTAGCTCCCCTTGCCTTGTGATCCCATAACATTTGAACGTTCTATCTTGACAGCCTTCCCTTCAGGATTCTAGATTCCAGGACAGCCGGAAATTTTATTTTTCTTTCTTTTTTAAAAGATTTATTTATTTGGGGTGGGGAGTGAGCAGGGGGAGGGGCAGAGGGAGATTGAGAATTTCAAGCAGACTCCCTGCTGAGCGAGGAGCCTGACGACGACGACAATGTGGGGCTCCATCCCAAGACCCTGAGATCATGACCTGAGCCGAAATCAAGATCTGGTTGTTTAACCGACTGAGCCACCCAGGTGCCCCAATTTTTGTCTTTCTTGTTCACTGTTGTCTCCTCAGTCAATTGCCCACTTTCTGGATCTAGCAGATGACCAATAAATTCCTTGAATTAAGAATAAGAGTTATATGGGAAGTCTGATCAGAGAGGGGAGTAGGGGGATAGGATTTTTTGATCTGATAGATCACTGTAAATGAAACCTGGAGGCTGGAAGAGTTACCTAAAGAGAAGGGTTTTTTTTTTTTTTTTTTAAAGATTTTATTTATTTATTTGAGAGAGAGAGAATGAGAGATAGCACGAGAGGGAAGAGGGTCAGAGAGAGAAGCAGACTCCCCGCCGAGTAGGGAGCCCAATGTGGGACTCAATCCCGGGACTCCAGGATCATGACCTGAGCCGAAGGCAGTCGCTTAACCAACTGAGCCACCCAGGTGCCCCAAGAGAAGGGGTTTTAATCTGGGCTGTCATGCCCTCTCTGGATGTACTTTCTCTGTGTGCCCTTCTCGTTTGTGGGGTGAGGTATGTGGACAAAAATGATTGCTAGGATTTCTCCTTCTCATCCTAACATTTAATGCTAGAAAAAGTGGTTTTTGCTGGCTACTGTCCTCTTACCAGGGCTTCTGTGTTGCAGAAAGTCATGGCTACTGACAAACTAAGGAACAATATCATGATTTTAGCCCGAGAAATGGAAGCACTCTTACAAAGACTTATTCTGGGAAAGGGATACTTACTTTTATAGGATGAATTAAGCTGAGTTCCCATTACTTTTATACAAAGCAAGATGTTTTTCAGAAAAAGAGAGCAAGAGAGTGAGAATGGGTCCGGCCTCCGCTGAGGACAGAGCCCGCGGGGCTGCCAGGATCCTTCCCCCTCCTGCCCATGTGCACTGTGGAGCTGTGGGGAGGTGCTGAGGGGGAGGACTTCTCGGAGGGAAAAAAAAACCCCCAAGCCTGCGAGCTACTCACCGGAGGTCTCTTCCAGATGAACTGGATGGGGAACTTCTGGCTGTAAAAGAGAGAGGTCTCATCTGGTGGGAACTCCGGATCCAGATAAAGAACCTTCTTTTCTAGACATTTCTTACGAAGCTGCTCAAATGTCTTCTCTTTCACTCCAATAATGGGGAAATTGCGGCTGATGATGGCCGAATAGATGCCACTTGGGTTTGCGCCCCCAGCCTCGGTGGTCTTGCCTTCGCCCGGCTGGGGAATCGGCCCCGGGGACCTGGGCTCCGCCCCCGTCCGTGGGGCCACAGATGCGCTAATGACAGTTGGCATGGCAGGCAAATTTGGAAGGAAAAGATTTTTTAAGGAAAACAAGATCCAGCTACCTGCAAGGGAAGGAAGCAACGGCCAAGGGGAAGTTGGAGTGATTCTGTCATCTGAGAGAAAAACGTCCACATCCACACCCGAAGCTAAAGCCCATCAGAAGGTCATCCAGCTTCTGTCCATCCTAAAAGCCGAGCTGTGATCCCGAAGTCGGAGGTTTTCCCGAGGCAGGAGCACTAGAGGGTTTCAGCGGCGGTGTTTACCTGGGGGCTCCTGCCGGCAGCTCGCACGCCAGAGGGAGAGGCAGAGGGGAGAGGGAGGCTTGTGTTTCACTGGCCTGGAGAAGCTTGAGCCAGGAAAACTAAAAATAGACATGAAGGAAGATTATGAGTATGACAGCCAGGGAGGCTAGTGTGCAGCCAGACGGCATGGTGGAGCGAGAAGGACCCGGCTAGGGACGTTCCCCCCTTGTCGTTGAGTGCTGGTGTCGTCAGGAGACGAAAGGGGATTATTTGAGGAGATTGGACGCTGAAAATTAGCCAAGAACTGCTGATGCGTTATTGAGTCGGCACGCAAGCGGATCGTCCCCCCATCGGCCACCATGTGAATGCAGAACAATATTGAGAAAAAAGGTAGCCAGGGTGAATGTGAGATCCTGAATTCTAGGAGGATATTCTAGACATCGTTGAGAACATAATCTTTACTTTCTAAAACTCTAGGTTATCAGAACATTATTCAGTTGGGTTTGGCATCTCTTCTAGAACGTTATGGTGTCAGCGTCCCGTGGAACTGTCTGGGTGGAAAATGCCATTCCGCAGGGTCCGCAGTTGAGAAAAATGCCTGTCTCTTTCTTGCCCACTTGACCTAGACCCCTCTTGTCTCTCCTCACCCCCCAAATAAATACTGGACCAAATTTGCTACAAAAAAGTGCCCCTGAGTAGACTGTGCAGGCACGCCACATTAGGCATCTGAGTCAGAAGGTGGAATTGGTTACTGAATCGTGTTGCCTCTTGAGTCCCCGGGGGGATGTCGTTCCAAAAGAGTTGGTTTCAGGGCTCTCAGATAAGAACAGAAGTGGCTCTGGGGAAGGGAACTGCGTGCCTGGTGTCCACCGCCTTGTGTTGTGCCCGTGGTAGCTACTACCCGGGCCGTCAGGAGATGGCTACATTCCACGTGGGGCTCAGTGGGGGCTTGTCCTAGACTGTAGCCCTGCCGGGTCCCATGTGACCAGTCTCACTAGCCCAAGGCTAGAGGCTCTGAGAGAAGGTGGGAAGTGACAGCTCAAACAGGGAGGACTACCAGGCTCATGGTCGCTGGGGCTGCAGCTTTGAGGAGCCCTGTGTCTGGAGCTGCTGCTTGTAGGGACCCTCAGCCTGTCCTCCTGTCCCCTAAGGAAATGCCCAAGGACCTTTACTACTACTCCTAAAGGCTGACTGCCTGGGTTCAAAGTCTGGGCTTGTTGCTTGCTGGCTGTGCCTGTAGAACTTTAGGTGAGTTACTTTTTCCTTTTTTCCTATGTCTCAGTTTTCTCACCTATAGAGTGGGTATGTGGATAGTCATTCTGTTATTGAGTTATCACAAAAATTAAACAACTTAATTTATGTAAGATACTTAAAATAATGCCAGGATTGTCTTAAGCACTCAAATGTTGTTGTTAGAGGTGACCTAAATTTAACATTATTTTGGGGTTAGATCAGGTTGCATTAGAGTCACTCATTGGTGCAGATCAGCATTCGGTCTATGAGCATTTACTGAATATTTCCCATGTGTCCAACACTAGGATAGGTGTAATCCGCTCAGGATCACATGGTCACAGTGTCTCCAATCAGAGCATGCCTATCTGCCTACACTAAAAAAGCCTCTAAAAAGACTGACTTCCAGTCTCAAACTCACCAATGACATGGAAAGCAGAGTGGGAGAAGTTTCCTTTCTCCACCCTCAAACGTTTGAATCCCAGCCCACTGCTCCATACCATCTTGAAATTTCACGGCACCCACCCACATTTTATTGTTTCTCCTCATTGAGCTTTCTGTTTGCCCTACAAGACTTGCAAGCTCTGTGAAGCTGGGCCCTGGGTCCCCATTCCGCTGTCAGGGTTAAGCACATAGAAAGCTTTTAATAAATATATATTGTCTATCTGTTGAATGAAATGTCCCTATGTGAGGAGAAATTTCTTACCCTTCTTACTGCTTTGCTAATGTAATCAAAGTATCTTGGCTTATTTAACCCCGGGGGGAGGAGCTGTCTCTGGGCCACACACCCGTTGACCTTGCTTTCCTTGGCTGTCTCACCAAGTAACTTAGTAACTAACATGAGCGTGTGATAAAATGAGCCTATTGTCCTAGCAGGATGGGAATATCAAACACACGGAGTGCAAGGTGCTATTCATTTTGCTTTAACGATTGTTGTGGATAAAACCCCCTCTCAGATTAGCAGGTCTAAAAAACAAGGTTTATTCAGCTGTGTAGCTGTAGAAACTCCTGCTATCCGGGAGAAATCCAATCTGGACCCAAGGACAAAGGGCAGGGAACGAGCATGTGAAGAGCTGTACATTTCAATTCCCAGAAGTCTCTTCAAGGACAAAGAACTAGTTTTTATAACATATTTCAGCCAACATCATGCAATATCTGTGATTGGAATGGTTCCTCCAGCACCAACACAGACAGCTAATCGCTTCGTATCACTGTCTCTTCCAACAATAAATATTTCTTTGATTTAACTCTATTGGAAGCAATGCATTTGCTTATAACACCCATCATTCATTAAGTGCCTACTGTGAGTTAGCCACTGCACATAGCTTTCAAAACTTTTAATTTTAAAATCATTTTAGGGGCGCCTGGGTGGCTCAGTCGTTAAGCGTCTGCCTTCGGCTCAGGTCATGATCCCAGGGTCCTGGGATCAAGCCCCACATCGGGCTCCCTGCTCGGCAGGAAGCCTGCTTCTCCCTCTCCCACTCCCCCTGCTTGTGTTCCCTCTCTCGCTGTCTCTCTCTGTCAAATAAATAAATTTAAAAATCTTAAAAAAAAATAAAAAAAATAAAGTCATTTTAGATTTACAAAAGAGTTGCAAGATGGTAAGAGTTTCCATATGCCTTTCACCCAGCTTTCCCTAATGTTTACACCTTACATAACCATGGTACAATGATTCAAACTAAGAAATTAATGCTGGTAAAATACTATTAACTAAACTACAAAAGACATTATTTTGATTTCTTTAGTGTTTCCACTAATGGTTTTGTTTTTTCCTCTTCTGTTACAGGATCCGATTCGGGCTCCTACACTGCATTTAACTGTTATGTCTCCCCAGAATCTTCCCATCTCTAATGGTTCCACAGTCTTTGTCTCATGACTTGGGACTGGTGAAGAGTACTTGGCAGGCATGCTATACAATGTTCCTCAACTTCAGTTTGATGTTTTTCATTTGATTAGACAGGTTATGGATTTGGGGAAAGAATATCACAGTGGTCATATGCCCTTCTCATTTGGGGATACATGATAGAGATGTGTTTTATCACAGGTGACAGCAATCTTGATCAACTGGCTAAGGTGGAATCTACCAGGTTTCTGCAAAGTAAAGTTACTATTTTTTCCTTTCCATACACATAGTGTTACCCGATTGCAGGGTTCTTGTCTCACGGAGTCGAAGAATGAATCTTGCAGACACAAGAGGGTGAAATGAAGTGAAGTGAGTTTATTAAGTGAAGGGGAGAAACAGAAAGGAAAGAAAAAGGCTTTCTAGAGTGAGAGGGGTCCCGAATAGGTTGCCACTGTGAGCTTTCACTGGTAGTCTTTTATTGAGAACTGACTAAGGAACTTAAATCTTGATGTCTCTACCACTAAGACCACGATGTTTACTTTTTCTTTGAAGTTTGGTAATTTTCAGTGGTCCAGCTTTAGCTGTTACAGAGATATCTTGTCTCTGACATTTAAGACAAACGAGGTAGTCTTGTTAGTCTCATTATATTCCCGTATCTCTGGTTTTGTACGCCTTAGCATTTTCCACATCTAGGATTTCTATGAACCTGAACACGTAGCCCCCTGCATGAGCCTAGTCATGTAGCCCCCTACCTATCTCTCCCTGCCTAGCCCCACCTGTCCCTTACTCACTTGGATACATATTTTTTTTTCTTAAGTAGGCACCACGTCCAGTGTGGAGCCCAACATGGGGGTTGAACTCATGGTCCTGAGATCAAGACCTAAGCTGAGATCAAGAGTCGGACACTTAACCGACTGAGCCACCCAGGTCCCCCCACATAGAATATTTTAAATCTGTATGACCACCTTGCGGGTTTGATTAGCCCTATTTTACACGAGGAGACTTGAGATATCCGCTGCAATTTTATAGTGAAGTCGTGGAAAGCTCACAGAATTTTAGAAATTACCTCTTTTCTTCAACAGATGAGGAAACCAAGACCTGGAAAGATTAAATGACATAGCCAAGATCACTCAGCTGCAGAACCAAACTAGACCCCAGGTTTTCGGATTTCCAGGGAGGGACTTGAATGTGTAACTAGGACTCCAATAATGTGGGCTAGGTGTAAGATCGCTGGATCCTTGCATATAAATAGTGAGGCCTCCCCTTCCCTTAGCTCTGACTGGAGAGGAATTTAATACCACAGCCCTGCTAGAAACAACTGTCAAGAAGCAGCTGTCAAATTCTGGCCGGCCTTTCTGGGGCACTGCAGTCTTTTGCGAGGCTGGTCATGAGACAGGCATATCAGGTATCAGATGCCATCCTTTCTTTCTCCTAGAATGCTCGTTTTATGGACTCCATTGTCTGTGGTTAATATGGTAATCTGTTTCCAGTGGAGTTGCTAGTGGCTTTCTATGTCCTGGGCCTAGAAGTTATTTTAGTCTAGGGTCATGCCCCTGGGATTTACGCAAGGCATTCAGGAGGTTTGGTAGGTGGAAATCTTAAAAGCAGAGTGGAAAGGTTGATGTTGTCATAGGAATTCCATTTCCCAGAAGGCTCTTGGGTAGGATGGTCAGTTAGATGAAAAACCATTAAGCTCCAGATATTTATGTGTTTTGACTGTGTTTCTGCTGCCTATCATTATGATACCCCGATACTGAAAGAGGTGTGAAAAATTGAAAGAACCCTGCCCACAGACGAAACTCCAGAATTGCGATTTTCTCTACGGCTATGGTGATTGGATTCACGTTTTTTTCTTTAAGGTTTTTATTTATTCATTTGAGAGAGAGAGAGAGAGAGAGAGAGAGAGCACACATGCAGGAGCGAAGGGGGGAGGCAGAGAGAGAGAAGCAGACTCCCTGCTAAGCAGGGAGTCTGATGCAGGCTGATCC